TGCTGTACCAATTAAAGTGTTATAAGTCACTCGAAAAAGATAGAAAAAAAACAGACAAACTAACAGGTACTTTTTGTAACATTAAGTGTCCAAATTCAATCAATTAGAAATGCACTGAAAAAATTTACGTGATGATGTATAAACTTCTAAAATTTTGTAACTTTTCAAGTAACACTCTGTTGCGTCAGAACGAAATCAATTATTGGTACAAAGATAAAGCTAGAAACAACTGCAGTGAACAAATGATGATGGGAAGGTCATTAGTGTATGGCTGTAAATTTTTAGTAAATGTAAAACAGCCATCCGACGCAGCAGAATTATTAAAACAGTGAGAAGCTGAAATCTTCGTGAACTTTAGAACTGAAACCCAGTACGAGGGATGAAATATTCTGATTATACTAAGCAAAAGACGGCTTTATGTACACCGGATTTTGACTACACTGCAATTTAAACATTTCTTTTAGAATCTCATTATACTGTATTAACGGTTTCTGACAAAGGTCATCATGACCGTTTGAGGACCAAAAAAAAGTGATTCTTAAAGTGGTTTGATTGTTACGCATAAACTGCAAAGATGAAACACTGTGCATAAACAACAGAAGTTTTGACGGAAGAGAAAATAACGACATACTTAACCTGTTGTTTTAGTACAGCTATGGAAAACATACGAATTGCAATATATTACTAAGATTAGAAATCTTAAAATATTTAAATAAACTGAGTGTAGACAAGGTTTATTAATGTTCTTGAAATGTACGTTTAAAAATCCCTAATCTTTGTTCTGTTGCTCAACCCTAACTGACCACTTCCGTCAAGGCTTTAAACGCATTTGATTCACTGTACGCAGCAGATGTCAGAAATGAAGGCTCAATATCACAAAAAATGGACTGTTAGAAAAGTTTTAAAGTAAAATTTCTGTCAAGCCAAAAAATCTTAAAGACAAGTTTTTCAGATGTAGAGCTGTAAGATATAAAACTGTCTTGGAAATAATTGATTAGAAGTTCAAATCAGAGCAGTTAAGGTTTATTTTTAAGAACATTTTAACTTTTCCAAAGAACCTATATTTTCTAAACCGATTGATTTGAATTAAGTCAACTTTAGTTCTGTCGCTTGTTCTGATATATTCCTTTTGTAAATGTTTTTATTTTCTTTATTTGTCTACCAATTAGTGTTCAGCTCAAAAAGCTGCTAAAGAAACAGTTTTACTTTTTCCTTTATTTCAATAAATAACGGTCAGCAACGTTGTAAATCAGCAGGTTTTGGTAGTAAATATGAGATCGTTCTTCAAAAATTGTTGGACAAACCATAGTCAAATGAAATTACATTTTTATATGAACTGCTTAAATTGTTTGTCTTCATTGTTTGTCGTCGAATACTATTGAATTGCTAGGTTCTCTTGGTTTTTAATAATAAATAATAACGTTCTTACTTTTTGCTGATAAATATTAGTAAAACTTGAATAAGAACAGCACGAAGAAACGATAAGCCAGCAAATTTATTATTGCATCAATGTCATCCTGTCAGCACAATGTTTTCAGAAGCAAACTAGCCTTAAGTTTATGCCTATCTGTTTATTTGATGTTTGCTTGATACCACTTAGAGACAAGGATTGGTAATTGATGCATAATCAAAGATATCTAAGAAGCTTCACAAATTTGTTATTGTTTTTTAAAGCACTCTTTCTCCTCAGCTGTTTTTTATGACAGACTTTCTTCTTTAATGTCATAGGTTTAGAAACTACTTTGAAGTAAGTCTGAAAAAGTTGCTTTCAAATTACCAGTATCATACAAGAGTATCAAATAATTATGTCAATGTCGACAACGGCACCAGTGGCAATAGTTCTTCCAGTCAGTGATCTCATTCTATAAACCAAATGAGAGTGTTAACTGAAAAAAATTAAGAAACGACTTTTTTTTACTCTCCTGACAACTGAATTCGTTTTTCGGCTTTTGGATTTGAAATTCTTTATAACTGTAAAATTTTATTATCTAACACTGAAAGAGGAAGTTTTATTCTGAAACTAATTTTTAATTGGGTTTATGAATTTTATGCAAATATGCTTAGGTAGTTGATTAAAGTTTTATTAAATGATTTGTTTTTTTTTTTACTTTTTTTACTTTTTGATTTTTTGCTGAAGTAAAGAAGAATAAATTTTAGAAAATTATTTTACGTAATAATGTTTATGTGTACTTATAAAATATACATAAAAACCCTTTCATGTCCTTTCTTACAGTTTTCCTCGTGACACTTCAAAGTTCTTCAATATTTGATGATTTGTAGAGTCTAGGCCAGCATACAGAAAGCCAAAATGAGGATCTGTAAGAGTGAATTTCTTGCCAGGATACACTCTGCAAAAAGTACCAGGTTGCTAGTTGACATGCCTGTATCCGGACACCTTCATAGAATTTGTAAATTTTGAGCACTCTAGACGTGTTATCACTTTTTTTTTAGACGCATATTAAATGACTTAATTCTGCAAAGCAGTTGTATAGATAAAATAAAAACAAAGCTTTAAATATTTTCAAGGTAAAGTGTAGCTAAATTTGAAAATAAAAAAAACAATTATTGTATGAAATTTGTTTCTTCACAAAGTGTCATAAATTGGTGACAGCAGTTTTCAGATTTTCAGACTTGGAAGTTGTGAATCGGAAAAGATTCTCAGACTAAAGAGTTTACTATCTTCACAGTAATCCCGTCAGTTTTACAATGACAAGATTACCTTAAGCTGCTTCTGAAAGCTACGAAGAGTAACTAAGAAATCCACCCGTTTATTTTCTAATCAGTGAGGATTTATTACAAAGTAATTCACTTCAAAACAATAAATATTTGTTAATCTGTGAAGTTGTAAGAAATGATCATTATTTCACTCTTTTTTGTTTTTCGTATACTCTGATCAGGTTGGAAGGTCACTGAGGCGCACCTAGCTAAACAACAGAGGTAACAATAGTGTTTCAGTATGCAAGCTTTATAAAATAGATAGTTTTGAAGGCAAAAAATGTATGCCACTAGCAAATTTTATTTCAGTATTTGAAAGGTAAGCAGAGGAAGAAAGTTGTCGACTCTTTGAATTTTGTTCGTGAAAGACGCTAATAAACTTCTTTCAACGTATTTGTACTTTATTTTCAAGAGTTCCAGTCATAAAATGAAATATAAGAGCTTAAATTATCGTTCCTTCTTCAATATTTTTTGCTGTAGTTCTCAAACCGACTAGGCTATGACAACTTTCGGAAAAGCATGAATCCAGCGATTGATTGTTAAAACCAACAGTACTTTTAGGCATCCTCGTGGCTTTAAAACACTTCACAAATCCATAAATTAGGCAAAATAAAGGCGAGAAGCGGAAAAGACTAGAATGAAATCTACTCGGTTATTTCTTACAGCTCTGCAGAATAATAAATACTTAGTGTTTTAAGTTAAAATACGAGTTGTATAAAAAATCTTCAGTGCTTAAAAAAATGCAGAGATTTCACCACTGTACATGGCTTTCAAAACTGGCTCAGAACAATGTTACCACTGTGAAATATATGAAATCACTGTAAAAACAGTAAATTCTTTAGTTTTTTTTTCAGGTCTTAATTCTCGTATCTAAAAAATTGTCACCACCGATCTGAGATATGTTATAAAGCAAACAATTTTGAACAAAATTTTTTCTTTTTAAAAATTCAAAGACACGTTTTTTTTGTGTATCTTTTTAAAGCTTTCTTAATAATGTAATACACATCAAAATTAAATTATTTAATAAGCTTTTAAAAAAAAGAAGGTACGACAGGTTCAACGAGCTGAATGTCAGCAAATTCTATTGAAACATAGCTGAGTTACAAGCCTCTAAATATAAATGTGTCGAGTAGCAACCAAAATTTTGTAAATTTTGGGTGGCGTAGTTTGCTGAGAAGTTTAGAGTAATAATTTTTAATCTATTCGCTTTGTTTATATATGTTTAAATCTTGCAATAAATCTGTTTGATGCTTGTGTTTTCTTCAGTTCGAAATTTATGAAAAACGGCAATACACGAAAGAAAAAAGAGCAGTGTAGTGGAGTAGTGATAGGTGAAGAAGAAACAAAAGAAAATTACTTAAATTAAACATATATCTTATCACAGTTTTATTTTCTATTATTTTTTAAGTTTTTTGACAGTTTTTTTTTCACTTAATATTTAAAAAATTTTTTTTATACAGATGAAAATAAACGGATAAGCTGTGTCGGCTACAGTAATGTAACGATATGTATAAACCCGTGACAGTTCAAACCTGACTAGTTGCTAATGTTATTTTGTTGTTTATATGTGTTAAAAAATTGAGAAAATTGTTTAAAAAGATAAGTATATCTGAAAAAAAAAAAAAAAAGCGTAGAAAAGAAGAGGCTAAAAAAGATCAGTTGCGGTTTTGAAAGGAAACGACAGAACCCGTGTTTGCATGTTTTGTGCTGGTATTTCAGTGTTTTTCAATGCATGTTTTATAGTGCATTTACGTTGCTCTATGGGTAAAAACAACATCCTTACCAATGTTTTTCGACGAAACCCAAACCGAAATATTAATTTTATCCATTTTTCTTTATTTTGGCTGTCCGAATTGCGCACAAGTTGAAAATGCTTAAACAGATCTGTTTTCAAAAATATTCCGCAACTTGTTCTTCACTTTTATTTAGTGTGCATTTATTTTTATCAATATCTTGGTTTACAAAGAAAGGAAGGAGAAATAAGAAAAAAGAAAGAAAGAAAGAAATAAGCAAAAAAAGACAAGAAGTAACGATTTACCGCCTTTTTTCACCATTTATTTAATAATGACACAAAGTATTTTAATCAAAAAAAGAAACTTATCAAACAAATTTTTGCGCAATTAGAAACGGTTAACCAAACACGGCCGTATCCACTAGTGAATTTTTCGTTTAAAACGGCTTTTTGTGGCCTGGTCAAGAATCTGAACTGTAGGGTAGTGCTGCAGACGTGATTTTTGGTCTGGTTTAAAAAGCTGTACAAAACAATTCTGCCGTACAGACAATGCGTGATATGTTTAATGGTGCAAAACGAACTTTGAACGTCCTGATAATATATGCGCTTTACATAACAAGTTAACATTATAGTCTCAAAATCGTACAATTTGAGTAAAGAAAAAAAAGAAAATATTTTATTAAGATTTACTATAAAGCTGGTGATTTAGAAGTGAGTGGAGAGTAAGTGAATAGAATTGTACGTGTGAGATATTGCATCTGTAGCGAAGGTAAAAGTGAATTAAGAAACATTAGGAGGCTGGCCGCCAATATGCGGCTATTTTGGCGCAGAACTGGCGAAAAAAAGTGAAAAATGACCATTGCAAAACAGTTTTTTCTGCAAAATTTCTAGAATTTAAAAAATATACACAAAGAAACATATTTATAACGTTATGTAAATTTCATCTAGTGTACAACATTTTGTTCCCAAAAGTAACAGCCACTCGTTAATGTTATTACATTGCTGTTCAAACTATGGTATTGACGCAAATTCGACTACCTCATTTTGCCAGAGAACAGCTACTTTATGCGTTCTACGAATGGATAAACAAAGCAATGGATATAAAAG